TTTTGTTTTAGTATTTTGAAGTTGACCAATTGTTACTATAAGCAATTAATGATTATAGATGATCTGCACCGTATTAATTGTGACTACATTATAAGGCCATCCAAAAGGAAATACATGCCCATCTCAGTTTACCTGATAAAACTTTTATCAGGGCAACAAGATGCATGGAGAAGTAGTTCTATTAAATCTGACACCATATAGTCAATATTAGATTTACTCATTTTATTTTTGGAAGTGATTTTAAAGAACTCTACAACTTGTAATTGTATGCAATTAGGAAGTGTACACACAAAAAAGGGAACCAAGTAAAAGCCTGGCTACTAGAAATTTTCCAGGAAATGGACCCCTTGTCCTACATGGGAAAGAGGTTCAGATTAAAAACATCAAGGGTTTATTCTCCGAATTTTCTCATTTCTGCATGGTCTTGCTTGATTTTATATATTAGTCTTCTATAATGAATTTAAGAATAATAACATCAACTGTATTTACACCAATAAATATTATAATGGATGTTATACAATGGAGGCAAAAGATTAAATAGTAACAAAAAGATAAGCCATGTTTATTTATTTTATATAAAAATATGATAGAAAGCACTAGAGTAATTGCATGGAGGAAAATACTTGGACCCAAAGTATTACCTATCCTTTGGTCACTCTGGTGGAAATATTTACTATTATTTATTTCTCCTTTATCATTTTTTTAAAATATTAACAAGAGTAAGGTTAATAGGGAGTTTCGGCAGAATGGCGTATGTGAAACTGCCGAAATAGTTTCGGCAAATCATTCTGAAATGCCGAAAATGCCGAAATTCCGAAACTCCCTATAGCTGACTTTCGGCATAACTGTTAGTAATATTTTAATATAGTTTCGCCATGTTTTAACCTAGAGGTTAGAAATTGATTATTTAGTTAACTAACTACTTGTATACTCGACTAAATTTTTTTGATCAACTAATATTAATATTCAAATAAATAGTCAACTAAATAATCGACTATTTTAATTGATTACTTAGTCTAGAGTTTCTATTCGTAATACAAATTCTTATTCGTTTATTCGAATTATTCTTTTTCATTCGAATTATTGTTTTATTTGAATTATTCGTTTTATCCGAATTATTCGCTTTTATTCAAATTGTTTGACATTTCGGCATTTTCGACATTTTCGGCATTTTTGGACATTTTCGGCATTTTTGGACAGTTTCGACATTTTTGACATTTTCGGCAGTTTTTTCATTTTGATATTTCGGTATCAAAATTGTCAAATCCCAAAATAGCAATGATATTTTTAATGTCACAATATTATAAAATCACACGACTCAATCTAGAATTAGTTTTGGATAAAGTAAGCATACCAAAATTAGCCAATCAATAATATCGCTGGAAATAAAAACATGCACAACGTGCAACAAAAAAACCGGAAATCTTTATTTATTATTATTTATTTGTTTTTCAATGAAAATAGATGTCAAATGAGCTGAAAATCAGATGTCTCCATTAATATAAATTTTATATGAAACTTATTTTTAATTCATTTAATATTAGGCAACAAAGTTAATTTTGTAAAAATCAACAAATTCCATTTCTTGCAAATTAATATCATTCAATTCTTTAGGATTTTTTAGCATTCGTTACTCTATGTCTCATTCAACAAAAATTTTGATGTTCAATACATGAATCTTGTTGAATAATCATCACATAATTAACAGCATGTTTTTAAGTTGAAGCCCTCACGAATAAATTTTGAACTAAAATAATTACTTTCAGAATCCTATTTAAATCAAAACAGCATCTTGATCTTCGTGATAAGTTCAGAGATGATCTCTGTATAGAATTGTAGTGGCAATTGGCTGCCAGAATGAACAAAAAAACATACCTTTTCTAAGTTGCACCAAAAAAATTCTAGTTTTTTTTGTTACAGTATTAACATACCTTGAATAATATAGGAATTAAATTTGTTTCGCATACATATTAATGGGATGCCAATGTGGCAAGCATAGTATGAAGCAAATTTTTGATGTAAATACTACAATAGATAAATTAGATAAATTAGGCAAATTAAATAAATTTACTAACTAATTAAAAAATGAAATTTTCTGGATGATAAAAATCCACATATATTCAAATGGATACTTTGAACTTTATTTCTAATTTGTCCTGGTCAAGTGATATATGGCAAACTCTTTCGTAAATAAGAAAGATCACCGGTAAATCTCCTTGGCCAAATTTCATTTTTGACTAAGATTCGTATCCCTAAGGCTTTTTTTATTAATAAAATTGAAAAAAAAACTTTCTATTACATTGTTGTTTAATTCCAAAGATCGCAAAAACAGTTTTTTTTTCCCATTTCAAATATAGTTATTGAGCCTTAGCCATAATGTTCACTTTGTCTGGTATGCCCTCTTATGCATATATGTGTGTCATTAACTCAAATTGGTCTGGGCCAATTGTCCTTGTTTCAAAGTTGAAGTAGATTAATTGGTATACAGGACAGGTTGAAATATATCATTTTTTCTAGATTTACATATTACGCCCCAATATGAAATGCAATGTCAATTAACATTATGTGACAAATAAAATGAATGATTTTATTTGCTAATCGACTATTATATTTAATTTTCTTGCAAAATAATTTGTTAATTAACATATCAATCCATCTATCCAACCTATTTATTTGTCTATTTACCAAATACCCCAAAGTGATTCTAATTCACAACAAAATTTTGAACAAGCTACAGCAGCAGATAATGGATATTGAGAAATTCCGATTTTCTCATCAATCCAATCATCAGCGAAATTGTCAGTACCATGAGACATTGCACCAATTACTATACAAATTGAATGATCTGAAGGTAAACTTGGTAGATATTGTGATAATCGAACAGGACGTGCATCATGTGACAGCGCTAAAAAAAATATGAATGAAATTGGATTAATAATAATAATAATAATAAATTTGGAAAAAACAAGTTATTATTATTATCCTTCTTCTTACTTAATTTTACACATTTTGTAGGAAGATAATTTGTTATAGGATTTTTAATTACACGTAATAATTTTTCATTTCCATCTACTGAATGTATACTTAATTTATGAAGAAGTTGTACTATTTTAATAAATGATATTAATAATGAAATTTTTTGGGAATTTAATTAATAATGAATCAAAAAATAATAATATTTATATTCGTATATAATGATAGTAATAATAATAGAAACAATTAAATATCTCTTCTACTAACCCATTAAACCAGAAAATCGTCTATAAGTTCTTGGAATTCTAACTTGAGGATTTACTTCAATAAGTACTTTATTTGCAGTGTGAATGTAAATTTGCATAAGACCAGCTTTGTTCAAGGGACTGTCCAACAAAGCCATCAAACACTATATTGTGATGTTGTTAATAGTAATGAGTATCATTAGATATTTTATTTCATAAAAGAAAACAAAATAAACTAAAAATTATTACCTGATGTGTAATATCAGGACGATAAGTAGTTGCATCTAATTTACCCAATTTTCTTAAAGTTTTTTGATGTTCATCACAGTTAATTAACTGGTATTGTGGTGGCCTAGACTTTGGCACTAAGTAAGTTTCAAGTGTTGCTTTCTCCAATACAACTATCAATCTACGTGTCGTTTCTTTTTCTTCAAATGTTTTAGGAAGTTTTGGAGCTTTTGGAACAAGATACACATCAGTCTTCAAATAGTCGCTGTTCCTTTGATTTTGATTTATTATATTATCATCTTTATCATCATCTTTATCATCATTAGCAGCAATACTAGAACTTTCTTTTTCTTTTTCTTCGATCAAAGAGGAGTCAGGATTACGACGATGTTTATTATTATTTTTGTTGTTGTTGTTGTTGTTGTTGTTGTTGTTGTTGTTGTTGTTGTTGCTGTTGTTGTTGTCGTCGTCGTCGTCGTCTTTGGATTTTTTGTCAAGAGGAAGATGTTGTTGGTTTTTATGATGTCGTTGGATAGGTATAGCTTCACCTTTTGTTCCTTTATGTTTTTTCTTTGGGTTTCCTGACATTTTTGTCAATAAGTTAAAAAATATTTTAAGATTGAATACAATTCTTGATTGGTTGAATTTTATTTATTAGAAAAATTTGTTTGAATCTACAAATTAAGACGAAACAGTGTTTTAAATAACTCTTCTTCCAGCAGCATTTTTAATTTATTACTTTAAAATTCAATCAATCATTTTTTTTCTGTTAGATGTTGTTTTAAAGTGGAATATGTACTTCGTCTAATGTGTGCGCAAATAAATCTTGTATATAGTGTATATATGCCCAACTTAAAAAAAAAAAAAATTTACTAAAATCTATCAATTCTACTCATTCACTACGCCCACCATTATTGTAAAAATAGATCTATCTACTCACTACGCCCATCATAACTGTTTTCCGGAGGAGTAGCACATTATATACATACATAATAGTCACAATAATATGATTGTCGATGGTAACGTTGTTGAAGCTGTAGTGGTAATGATGATGTTATTGTGATGTTGATTGTTGTTGTTGTTGTGATAATTGTGACGGTAATGATAGTTGAGTGTAATTCGCTAAATCATAAAATAAATCGGCAAATGGAAGGATTGACTCGCAAAACTTATTTTAATAAAATCATTTCTTTCAAAACTTTCTTTTGCTAATCGTTGATAAAAAAATTTTTAACAGAAAGCAAAAAATTAATTGTATATAGTTGTGATGAATGGCTAATTCATCTTACTTTTAACATTCGTTGGTTGATTTGATGACATCCTCGAATGGCTTGTTAACAACAACAGATTATTGGGAAGATGTTATTTACAAATGATGTATGATTAATCAAAGCGTAAATGACTATTCGTTCTTCAATTCCTATTTTTTATTTATTTTTACTATCTATTCGAGCATCCACGTAAAAAAAACAAAAGTTTATTGACACTTTATCTTCAAATTTTTTTAATGTCGATTATCACGAAAAGAAACAATTATTCGTACAATCTTCATGGAGAACGTGACTGAAAACCAGTTTTGAATGTCCTTATCTGTTATTTCAGCTACAACAATTATAGTAGCGGACGTTTTCCAATGAATAAGAATTTTGTAAAAAAAAAAAAACTATTTTTTTTATGGGAGTTTGTTTACTTGAGAATTAATTAGCAACACAAACTTTATTCACTTGAAGGGGGGGAATACTTTTGTTTTTTTAAAAATTTTTTTGAATTAGACAAAATAAACACTTGCACAAAATTTTTAACTTTATAAATCATAAATCATAATTATGTCATCATCATCTAATAATAATAATAATAATAACGATAATAATAATGTCATTAATAATAATACTAGTAGTAGTAATAATACTAACAGCACAAAAAATACATTTGCTTTGGCACTTACTTCAACTACATCAGCATTCGCTTCAACCACTTCCTCTGCTCTCACTTCAACAACATCAGCCCTCAGTTCAACATTTTCATCATTAACTTCAAACATTTATCATCCTTTAACAACATTAGCAACAGTATCGTCCACATTAACGTCAATTAATAGTAATAGCAGTAATAACAGTAGTAGTAATAATAATAATAATAGTAGTAGCAGCAGCGGCAGCAATAATAACTTGTTGTCTCCAAGTTCATCAACTACTGCTTCATCACGTACACATAGAACTACAATAGCAACACATACATCAGTACATTCAGAAATATCAATGAATAGACAAACATCATCTGATAACATGTCATCATCAACATCTATTGATTCTGATGGTGTAGATAAAAGTGAAAAAGATGTTAATAAATTAACAGAAAATATGTTTAAAAAAGTTACAGAATATTTGAAAGGAGAAATTTTAGGTAAAAGAATTTCCAAAAGAAAATTTCCAAAACAATATAATAAATTTTATTTAAATTTTACTATCATCATCATCATCATTATTAGCTACAACTGAAGATTATAGACTTTTGGAAAATATGAATATACTTACAAAAGAAAGATATAATGAAATGTCGTTTATGGCACAAAATTTAGTTGTGGAAATGTCAAAATTACAAGAAATTTGTAAGATTACTTATTAATAGAAATAGCACCACAATAATAATGTATTTGTTATAATTTATATAATAATAATCTATTTATTTTTCTAAAATAAATAGATAGTGATTTTGAACCATATGTTAAACAAATAGATGAAATAAGTGAACAGGTTGACTTTTTAGAAAAAGTAACAAATGAATTGGATGATTATTCAAAAGAATTAGGTAAATATTATTATTTATTATTTATTATTGTTGCTATCATTAATATTAATAACCTGTATAATATTATTAATTTTTTTCAACAAAAAAAAAATAGAATCAAGGTTAAAGAAAATATCTAAATGATAATGGTATTTCTTACTGATATCTGATAAACACTATTCAAAAATTATTTTCTTGAGTTTTTATTATTTATTTATTAAATTATTAATTAATATTGATAAAAATATTCTTTGAAAATTTGCCGCACAATCTCTTTATAATAAATTCTTAATAATAATTTCTTCAAAAGGGGAGAAAGTGAGTGAACTCGAATTTATCATTGAATCTGTTTTTTTTTTAGACTGTATATCGAATTAATGAGCGAGTATTGCAAGTAGGCAGAAATTTCTCCATGCATAAGATCTTATTGTTGTTTCCAATTGCTAAATGATTTAACATTGAGTCATTCATTAATTAGTTTATAATTATATTTTGTTAATACTTGAATATTATTGATAGTCTTTTTAGAACAAATATTATAGACATGTTAAATCACTAATGATTCATTTTTGCTTATTAAAAATCATTAGATATAAATAATAAATGGTTTACCCTTTTTGATTAATAAAAGGAGGTTCCTTTAATCCATTATATATTTTATAAAGGATAATCGTATCAAATTGCATCAAATAAACAATTGTAATGCTTCGAATCCTCGGAAAAACTCTTATTTCCAAAAACAAAGGAACCCATATAAAGTTCCCAGGTTCAATTTTTAAACTTGCACTTGCATGTTAAATATTTAAACATAAACTTTGTTTCCTCATTTCCTGAGCTAATTAATAGATTTTTTGTGAAATTTTTGCATGCTACTACAGATCACACACTTCATTTTTTTTCAACAGGTTAAAACTTTGTTGATTGTATGTCTGTCTACATAGTGAATGGTTCAAAAAAAGAAGAACTATATATTTCAGCGTATTTGTTAAAAATACTAGGAGGATCATTCATACACAAAGTTATCTAAAAAAAATCTTTATTAGACCTGACAACTGTTATTTAATTTTTTCTGCGATATCTAATGGGTTATATATTTTAAAAGTTTTTGTATCTTTTTCTATTATCTAATTAATAAAATGCCATTATTTATATGGTTATTTATTACTATTACTATTGCTGCTATATATTAGCGTGATTAGCAACTATTCGAGAGTATCCACAATATTCAATGTATTATTAAACAAACAGATAAATATCCTTTTTCTTTTATGATTTTTAGATAATGCTTTTATCTTGTAGTATTTCTTGTAGATCTTTGATTGAAAAGAGTTTTGTGTAGACGGATGCTGTTTGACCTGTTTATTTTTTGAATTACATCCTACTTGCCAAAAGTTAATAGTGTGCTGAAAGATTGGACAATGATAAAGAGTCTAACCATTTGTAAGATCAGATAGTCTATATCCATTTTTTATTGTTTGTCACTTTTTTTTATTTATTACCTAGAAAATAGCAAACAAGTTATGCGGTATTACTTTAGGTGTCGTTCAAAAAAATCTAGCGATCAGCAATCAGCAAGTTGTTGTACAACCGTGTGCGTCACAATCATCTTTATTATGTATACTTTATATGGATGATTGATTTTGTTAGAGTTTCAGGTGACTAAAAAAAAAAAATAACTTTAAAAATCTTCCTTGAATTGCTGATAGCATCTGCTACTATTTAAATTAAGATTGATTGATTTAATGATTAATTAATCAACCATGTATGCTAGTTCAATTAGCCGAATAAGTATTACATGTACTAAATTAAGCAGTAGATTTTTTTTGCCTGAAAATTAACTATATAAAAAATCATAATTTTAAAAAGATCACGATTCAATTATTATTGATATTTATAAATGATTAGAGAAGTTAAAAAGGAAAAACCATTCTTTATTTTTAGGAAATATGTTATTGCAATTCTTACATTGCATTCATTCATTAAAATTCTTCTTATTTTAGAAGATGTTTCTTTTTTAGGGTTTGATTTATGAAACACAATACATAATTAATTAAACAATAACGTGGAAATAGCAATGGATCATGAGTTTGGGGTGAAATCGAAGTAAAATTGAGGCGAAGTTAAGACGAATTGGCTGAACTGTGATTGTTAACTAGGTGTTAATTAAATAAATAAGATTTATATTATAGGAAATAGACTGTGATATAATAATAATAACAATAATGTATAATAATGATGATAATGATGATAATGATAGTGATAACGAACGTGAAATAATAATTAAAATTTTCCTTTGTTCCAATTGCAAGTAGTATAATGTACTTTTTAATTACCAATTTAATTACCAATTTAATTACCAATTTAATTACTAAATAAATCGAGAAAGGGGGAGGGAGAGAGAGAAAGAGTAAGAGGAAGAATCCAAATAAAGAAATAAAATATAATTTATATTTATGACAAAAGTATCACTACCAAATATAAATTATTATTAAAGTGAGAAAATTCAAAAAAAAAAAAAGATTAAAGTTAAAATTGACTGGCAATTTTTTATCATCTTTATGTAATAAATAATAAAAATTACGAATTTGGCAAATATTAAAAAAATTAAAAATCAATGCGTGTGTGTGTTTTGTTTATATTGTAACAGCTTTTTGAATGAAACTTAATTTAGAATTTGCATTTATTTATTTATCTTACTTATTCTATTAATTTGATTAATACAGTAAAATAACAGTATATATTAATAATACACAGTAAATTTAACAATGTATTATATATATATATATAGCTTAAAGATCAATCAACAACATCACATCATCTTCTCTTTTTTTAAATTTTAAAGAAATTGGAGAAAAAAACAATAATAAATGCATAAAATGTGTAAATTCATATAACAAAGAATAAAATCAAAAAAAAAAGATTCAAATCATGTGTAAATTATTCATTTCACACATTTATTACTGTAATCAAAGGTCACAATAACAATTATTATTGTTGTTGTTAGTTCTATTAGTGGTGGTATATATAATGTGCGTTGAAAATCTCCTTGTCGTCATGTGTAAAAGGTCATTTCATTTGTGGAAGAAGAATGGAGTGTAGATGACGGTGACAGTAATGGTGACAGTGATTGTGATTGTGATTGTGATTGTGATGGTGATGAAGGTGAGTAGGGGAAGTTGATTGATAAAAAGAAATACTAACAACGAAAATAATATTATTAGATATATTGTTTAAAATTTATACTGCATATAAATTTAAATTAATATTTGTTATATTTATTGTTTGTGTGTTAAATACCGTATGATTATTGGTTGTGTGATGCTAATTAAATGATTTTTTTAAGGGTCATAGAATCCTTGATCTAATTTTTAAAATTTTTATCGTAAAATTTTTTTTTGGGGAAAATTACCCGTGTAACAAATAATATTAGGGTTTTCTTTATTAATTCAACGGTCTTTAATTTCGCGCGTTTTATAATATACTAACCGACTAACTACTAATGGTTAAATAGTCAAACTTGTTGTTCATGTAATATTTTAATTTAATTTTCATCGAATTAGTTCATACATGCTAAAGAATCCCAAGAAGACAGATTATCATATAACTACTGCGCAAATATATTTTCTTTTGCTTTTATTCGTTCCTACTTTACCTACTTGCTTTTCTTTACTTGATCTCTTCTTTTTCTTTAGATCAAAATAAATTGATCAGTAATAATCAGATCTACAATTCCGAAAAATATTTTGTTGGCTTGATAAACTTTGATTTTTTTTTTTTTTAATAACTTTAAAATTTTTTCCATTACTCCTTATTTAATTATAATTAATTAATTGATTAATAATAATCCATTTAAAATTTAAAAAAAAACTAATTAAAACAATTGGTAATTTTTTTCATGAAGTTTATATTTTTTAATTATTTATTTGTTTTTGTTTTTTTGTAAACGATTTCCTTGTTTTATTTTGTGTTTGCAATTTATTATTAATGTTGCATTGACTTTGATCATTATCATTCATTTTTTATTTTATTGTTACTACCACACTACTTATTATAAAAATCAGTATCCAGTAGATTTTCGTGCAAGAAGACACTTTATTTGGAAAAATTCTAATAAGATTTTTAATCATCAATGATTCAATTAATTGATTTAATAATAAAAATAATGATAATGATAATGAAAATGAAAATGATTATGGATTTCTTTTAAATTGAATTTTCTGGTTAAAGAATACATCGGACAAGTGTTTTTCAATATTTAGTCGGAAAAAATTCACACGCTCCACACACCCCATAAACTATGCACCCTCTCACAAACCTGATTAATCAGTTTGTTACCCTCTTAGTACGACATTGCTAATTTATTGAGATATTTTCATTCCATTTTTCCAAAATGTCATATATTTCTTCCGTCGAGCCACCTCTTGACAGACAAGTCAATACAAAATCTGCGTGAATGACGTGATACTTCTGTGCTTGGTACATTAATAAGTATCTTTTTATTATTATGGATTAAAATATAATTTATGTAAACACATATAAAAATAATAAATATACGTTGTATATAAAGCAGATATATATATGTATATGTATATATATAAATACCCTATTGTGCCAACTATTACTACATCTTTACCATAACCGTTCATCCAACTTCTACTCAACGTTTGAATGCTTTATCTTTCTTCTACGGTTATAATTATAATTATATTATATAAACTATTTGATTGCTTTACTTCTCACTCTTTTTAATTAATTATCTAATAATTAATTGATGAGTAAATGAATTTCTTTATTATGATATATGATGATACACATTCATTAACATTTCCACTGTAAAAAATTTTAATGAATTTGTTCAACATAAAAGATAAGATTGATAAATAGATTTTCTGATAGGCCAAATTCAAAATCAACCAATTGGACAATTTTCCATTGTTAAACAATTGCGGCCACAGGCATGTGACCAAAAGATTATTATTGTTGATTGGGAAATGATTTACGAGATAGAGGTCGAAAGGTTTTCCCCTCATTGTCTTCAATGTTTAGTGTACTTTTTAATCTTTTTTTTTCATTATCATCATCGTTAACACATTCGTTCATCCACACATTCATTCATCCACACACTCATTCATTGATTGATTGATTTAATTTAACACATCATTGCACAAAAAAAAATGGGTAGATCGGAAGAAAAAAAGATAATCATAATGAAAATTGAAGAGAAAGGAGAGAAAGTGAAAGATGGAAATAATTTCAAATTATCTTTAATAATTTGAAAAAAAAATTTTTTTTTGACAAATGCATGTAATGTTTGTGTGTGTGTGCGCTGTGAGCGTGTGTACATACAAATTGTTACATAATATACAGTGATAAATTTTTTATGCATAAGCAAAATTAGAAATAAAGTTCTATAAAATAAAAAAAAATAAAATCTAGGGTTTAATGGTTAAAGTTACAAAATTAATTAGGCATTAAAGCGAGAGAGAAAGAAAGTAAGTGTATAAATAATAAATCTTCAAAGAGAAGAATTATAATGAAGGGAAATAATTTAATAAATTGGAAATTGGGTTATTAAAAATATTCGATAGCCAATCAATCAGCCAATCAAAAATCAAGGATTGGTGTAAATGATTCTTCCCAATATAAATAATACTTCTTCATATGTCATATGGATAATAAATAGAGAGCACATAATTTTAGTAATTAATATATTTAGCCATTATTAATAAATATTTATCAATATTATAACAGATAATTCTCACACATTTTTTTGAAAAAAAATATAAAAATAGAAAGAATTAAAAAAGATCTTAACAAAAACCTGTCTTCCTACCAGTCGTTACCATAATCAAACAATTTATTATATATATATCAAGCCATACTAAACCATAAATAAATCAATTATTTTGAGGATTTTATGTACAGTATTATATATATATCATTCAAAGAACAAATTAAGAATATACGTGTATATGTGGGATATCATCATTATGGCATATTTGTTTGAATCCTCTTCTTTATGTACGAATGGAGTTGCCAAATATTCTCCACAAAAAAACACTTACCATCTTATAATTAATTTGTTTTTTTTTTTGGCTTTGACAAGATCAAAAGAACAATAAATTTTATTTTTCTTAAGATTAATTGAAAGGTTTTTGAAAAAAAAATAAATTTGTTAGAAAAAAAAATGTGGAGAATTGTTTTATCATTTATCAAATATTTAGAGTTTATATTGATGGATGACATAATCGTTAATCTCAATCTGATTTTTTTATATTACATATATATATATGATTGTCATTATTCTTAATTTATATATTTAGATGATAAAAACAAAAATGAAACTTTTATCTTCGGTTTTTTCTTTATCTTTTGGAATTTAAATTAATAGAAAAAAAAATCTAATAATTAATTAAATGGACACACAATAGATAGAAAAAATGAGGTTGATCGTGGGCGTGTACGTGATCATTTATGCTACTACTGCTATTACTATTTTTGTTACTGTAAGGTACTTTTTTATTATACAAGTATGTTTTAAACCAGGTACTACAAATTACAAATAATAAACTTTAATCAAAAAATAACAATTATCACAAGTTTTTTTTTATCCCTGCCTGAATTGAAATTTTGATCTCTGAAATATGTGTGATTTATCGATTTTTATCAATTGATCAATCCTTTTCGCTTTACTATTACTGTTCTTTCATTTCTTCCATTCCATAATCGCTCGCTCTCGTTCATCATAATCACGATCATTAATTAACCAATTAAATAGTTTCGATGAATCGTAAATTTATTTTTATTATTTATTTATTTTATATTTACAACAACATTTAACAGGTTTTTTTTATTTTCGCATAATTTACTACTATTATTGTTATAATCGTGTACATACACTTTTTAAATACATATTATATTCTCTATATTGCCGACGTTGTACGATAAAGAACCATCATATGTAATAATATAATAAAATATAAATATAAATATTAATATAAAATACAATAATAATATAGTTATAATAAAATAAAATATTGTGGAGGATAGAGATTTATTATTTTTTTGAAATTGGTTGATTTGATCAATAATATCAATAGAGAATTAATGTGTTACAGCATTGGCATGATTTAATTAATAATCTTTAGAGTTTCTAATTTATTTTTACTAAACTAACTAACTCATGAATGACTGAGAGAGAGAGGTGGAAAGTGAGAACAAATATAATAATAATAATAAATAATAATAATAATAATAATTCAGGGGAAATAAAGTAGATCAACAAAATATTATATAATAACTGATAATATACAAAATAAAACAATTGTTAAAAATGCTTTTATTGGAAATTATTAATTAATTTTATTTATTATAAAAAAAATAAATTATGCAATTTTTACGAATTTAATTTCCCTAACTTCCATATTTTTCTTCAATTCATTATTCAATCAATTATTCTTCTTTCTTTTTCTCTTTAGAATAACATTTTTTATTCTCCAATGCCACTAAACACAAAGACTCAAATTTGGTTAGTGTAAAATGAAGTTACATAAACTTTTTGTGTAATTCGAAGATCGCTTTGCCTAAACATACTTACTTGATCTACATATCGTCTTCCCGACCAAAAAAAAATAATTACAATAAATTCATCAAATCCTTCTCTTTCACCCGTACCATACACACACATGTATGCGTCTCAACGGAATCAAAAATCAAAAATTTTGATGAAAATTGGACTAGAGAAGATTTTTTTAATTAATTAATTGTCTGGTCTTTGTTTTTAAATTAAGCAAGTTTTTGTGGAATAATTTTAATAGGAAAATAAAATAAATAAATACGTGAAACGGATGATTTTAAATATTAATATGTGATGGTGGGTGATGTGGCAGTGATTGATCGTATCTCAAAATATCAATATTAATTTTTTAATTTAATTTATTATTTTTATTTCCATTCCTTTCAAATGTTTTTAATTAACTAATTATGATCTTTGATCTACTTTACCATCCAGAATAAGATCTTGCTTGTTTAAGCCTCTTCCTCTTCCTTCCTCTCTTCATATATATATATTTTTTTAATTGCATTTATTTCTTCCAGATCAACAAACGAATCATAATAATCATAGACAATTTCAATTCCTCTGCTTTGACCTTTTCTCACCTTTTCTATTTTCTTAATTATTTCTTTATTTTTTTACAGAACTCTAAATATTCAAACAAATAAATAATATAATAATTGTAATAATAATAATGAATGAATGAAAACAATAAATCAATCCACATTCTTAATCATTAATTAATCTTTTTTATCAATTAATCAATTATTGTTATTATTATTATTATAATAGTAATAATTGTGTTTTTGTGTGTTGTAGTATAAATTGTTTATTATAATTTTTTTTGTGTTCCCAAATATTTCAAAAAAATTCTTTCATTCCTTCTTTAAATTATTAATTTTTTCCCCACTTTTTTATTATTTTTTGCTACTTTACACACTACATTTCTCAAAAACTTTATATCTTTGAGCAAATTAATCAATTAAAACGTTGTTATTTTTTGTTTTTTTTTCAAAAAAAAATAATTATTCCTCCATAAATAATAAATTCATTTATATGTATATATACGCTTATCATCTATCCAACAAAAAAAATAACGACATGAATTGATATATGTGTTACCTTTAATCATAACACTAAAGTTAAACTATATATATCAATGATGAAATATACAGTTTAAATGTAATTTTATACTATATTATTTATATTATGAAATATACAGTTAATTTAATTATTTATTTACATTGTATCACCAAAAAAAATTATGCATTCTTGTATAATCTGTCTCTTCTAAATAAATAAATAAATAAATAAATAAAATACATTGATAATAAAAATATATATATTGAAAAAATATAAGCATGATATTGATATTTTTGTACTATATATACATGAGTTAGTTGAATGATGTGATGTGTTTTTTCTCGATATTAAATATATATATATATAATCCTTGGAAAACAACTGACCGAAAAAATTTTCTTTTTTTCTAATTTTTTTTTACAAAAATTCCTCTTAGAAACCTTATCCTTGCTTGAAAAAAATATTTATAATTAAATTATTTTTCTTTTCTTTTATTTTAAAATATATAAATCACAAATCAATAAAATATATAAATCATAAAATATATCAATCATCATAACAAAAATTTTCCCTCAAGTATATAAAAAAAATTCAATTCTCACTAATATAATATTTAGATAAGCATTCAATTAATTTAATTATAATTCTTCAAACCAAAAAAATTAATCTGATTTATTTTTATTTTATTTATTTTTTTTCCTCAATTATTTATTGATTTTGCTTTATTTCAAAAATAATAATAATAATATCATCAAATAAATAAAATCAAATGATAATATAGAATATTGAAGCATTTTTTTTTCTAATATTTATTATTCCTTTACTCACTCTTACACCAATAGAAAAAAGTTACTGGTTAACAAAAAATCCTTTTCATTATATTTTTGTTTTGTACATATAGTATAAATATATATAAATCATTTATCTTATCATTTTTTAAAAAAAAAGTATTTTCCCAAACAGCACCAACAAAAAGTTTTTTTTAATATTTTCAAAAAAATTTTTTTAAATTACACAAATATATTTTTAAATCAACTAAAAATCCTATATATTTCTTTACATAAAAATCACTTAATTCATTTTTTCTTCTCTAATATATATATATATAAAATAAATCATTTCGACAATGTCTACTGCACTTCAACATATTAACGGTTGTGGAATTAACACCACCAACAGTACATATAATAATCGTAAAACACAATCACTAACGTTATCATCACCTCAATCTAAACCACAACCACAACCACAACCATCGTCATATTTTGATTTCCCTAATAATATAAACATTATTGCTAAATCAAGATCTAGATTTGTGATTAATGATAATAGTCAATTGCCTACTATCATATCTGTGATTGCTTCATCAACTCGAAACAATAGCGATGCTGAACAATCATCAAGATCATCATCGATTTCGTCGTCATCGTCGTCGTCATCGTCTTCATCGTCATCACCATCAACACCGCCGCCTCAGCATTTACAACCTCCAAATTTAAAATCAGATCAAAAACAAAAACTACCTCAAAAATCTTCATATTTATCTACTTCATTATTAGCAACAAAATTTGGTACAACAGGGATTGGGACAGGTCCAATTAATAATAATAGTAATAATACTGATCATATAAGACTTAAGAAATCGAAAAAATCAAAAAATAAGACAACTCCACTAAAAACAACTACTGCAACTTCAAGTGCAACTGCAACTGCATCAAGCGCCAAAGCTCAAACAACAGTAAAATCTCCAACTTGGCGAGAAATTAAACAAATGCCTGGAATGATATTCTCATTTCCCGTCATTTTTCCACGATCTACATTTGCTACTATTGGTGATGATTCCATCAAGGATGACAAAAGTGGTTATTATGATATTAGATTTGAACCCACGAAAGATGATGTTAATGTTGGTGTTGATGTTGACGTTGATGTTGATGATGATGATAATAACAATAATGGTAATGAAAGCCATAATAATAATGGCACTATCAATAAAAATAGTATTAATCAACTTGAAGGCTCAGAATCAACTGAATCAGATTCAGTATCAACAACGCCAGTTGCAACAACAACAACAACGACAATAACAACAATTACATCTTCAGCTTCTTCTACTAGTGGCACTTCTACTCCTTCTGCCGATAATAATACGACTACTGATGTTATCCAATCAACTTCAATATCTACTGATGCTACAGCTACTACAAATGCTCAATTAACAACTGTTACAGCCGCCACAAGCGCTCGATCCAGAAAAGGCCGTAGACCTTCTACTTCCAAATCTACTACTTCTACATCATCAGCTACAACAAAACCATCTATTGCAAACCCAGTAATCAACCTTGATTACAATCCATACTACGTTGAAGGACCATCAGCCACTATCATACACCGACCATTATTGTTACCTGATATTGTCAGATCTTATGCTCAGGAAAAACGTAATCAAATGAGATCAAGGCCTATTACAAGAGCAAAGAACAAACAAGAAAATCACATACTTGACATGTTGGAAAGCATTATTAATCCTGCTAGTAATAATTTAAATAATAATAGTGGCAGTAGTAATGGTAATGATTCTTCTAACAATTCCAATTCAAACCGTCGCAGTCATCGGGAACGTGACATTTTATCGTCAACTCGTCGAGATAGAAGATCGCCTAGAGTTGTATCGTCAAACCCTAACAGTCATCGTTCTCGTACCAACTACAACAACTCCTCTAACAATAATAATTCGGCTATAGCCAATCATAATATTATCAATGGCAGAAGATCTCGTAACAACAACGCTGCATCATCTTCCACATCTAACAATAATAATAATCATTATAGTAGTAATGGCAGCAATGTAAATAATAACGTTGGTGGTGTCAACAATTTCAATCATAATTTTTACTATTATCATGCTATTCCTGTATCAAAAAGACGACGTGCATCCAGTTCATCCTCATTGACCTCTCTCACAACATCAGAATTAACTGATGATGTTGAAGATGATGAAGATGAAGATAATAATTCTGATCTTTTTGTTGATGACAAGAATGATCCCGACTTCGTTTATCCAAGTAATAAAAGAAGAAGAGCTGCTAACAATAACAGTAATAGTAATGGTGGCGGTACTGGTAATGGCACTAATGGAAATAATTGCAACAGTGATAGCGATAACAATAATAGTAATAACAATAATAACAATGGTTATCATAATAACAATAACAATAATAGCAACAACGGTACATCATCATCGACAGCAAATAATGGTGGTAGTAGAAAACAAACAGGTCGTGGAAGAGAGTCGTCCAACAGGGGATCGAAAGTATGTGCTAGCTGCAAGACGAGAAACACACCTTGTTGGAGACCTGGCTGGTCTTCTGACTTATTTTTGTGTAACAGCTGCGGGTTGAGGTACAAAAAGACCAAATGTGTTTGCCCCAACTCTGGATGTCGTTATATTCCGCTCAAGTCGGAATATAATGCAATGTTTAAAAAGAGGGTAGCTGTAGCTGGTTCTGGGGCTAATAATACACCTGGATCATCGAATAATGATTCAGATGATATTAGAAGATGTTGTAAATGCCAGACGGCGTTCTAAATAATGAATGAGTGAATGAATGAATGGGAGGTTATTTTTATTTTATAAATGCTTATATAAATATTATAAATATATAAATTTTTTATTCTCTCTATTATATATATATATATATATATATATATATATAAATACATACACATACACACACACACATACACACATATATATATATTTACGTACATACGTACATACGTACATACCATACATATTATATATATATATATACACACATATACAAATAAATATTAAATAAGTTTAGTTATTGATATTCTTCTTGATTATAATTATGATGGGTATATTCAGATAATTGATTAATCCATCATTTTAACAAAAAATTTTTTTTTTGATTTTTTTTTAATTTATAGAATAGTTGACGGTTAATAAAAAATAAAAATAAACTACTTTACTATTATTTATTAATATGATTATGATTATTGGTTGGCTGATAAAAAATTTTTTTACTTTTTTATATATCAACTTTCGAGAGATTTTAAAGTAATAAATAAATTGATAAATAAATTAATAAATAAATTATTATGATGATTTTAATACAATATTAGTATTAGTATATATATCGGGAATGTTTTTAATATTTGGATACAAATATATGAATATTAACGTTTATATGATTTTATCTTTCTTTGCGAGCGAGCGATAAAAATAAATTTTTTATTGGTTGAATTTATTAATTAAAATTATACATGGATTGAGTGAATGAAGCTGAGCGAGTTGCCAATAAGTCTCTTTTGCCATAAATTAAAGTCAAATCTGATTTCTAGGAATTCCATACGGGTGAATTTCCAGCAAAACCCCTTCAGTATTTCCTATGATTGAAATATACATATACACTTCACTCGCGTGTGTTGGAGCAATGAAAGCCCATAATATGCTTTTCACTTTACATGTCTATTACCAAGAAAAAAAAACACCATTTTTATACACCAATTTTTGTAACTTGAATAGTTTCTTTTTACAATTATTAGGACTTGCAAAATCTAATTTTATAACTGCCTTTCCTTAAAGGCTATTATTAATCTTTAAAATACTTGATGTAGTTAGAAGTGTATTTAATTAATTTAAAATGTAATTCCAATGTCAAAGCTTTGGGGTAATTTTTGTTTAATTTTATTTATAATAAATTTTCATATTATTCATTTGAAACATCATCTGAACAACTTGCCAATCCGTTAATTTTTAACGTAAATGGTCTAGGGTCCTTCCAATTTATCAAATACAGCATAGTGTTGGGACAAAAATTTTTTTATATACAAAGTCCCCCTATATAGTCACAATTGCATTATAGTCACTATCACACTTAATTGTAAAACACTATATTAGCACATATAAAGAAAATACCCTCCATGCAATCACCAGCCAATTGAATTTATGAAAAACTATTACTATATACTAAAAAGAGTAACATTTTTTTTACATTTTCAAAAAAGGATTGATTGATTTTTAACAATTATAAATATGTCACGAGAGCTTTTAATGACAATTTTTCATATTCAATTTGTACTATGTAGATTCTCTACCCTTAAAAGAATTTTTTTGGCTTCAAAAGGATTAGTTGATTTCTTTAAACAATAAATTATTTCGTTAATTAAAATTATTATTTCTTGTTTTTCAAATTTATAATATAATAGTAAATAAATATAAATAAATACCTTATTAATAAAATATAGTTTACAAAATAAATCAAACGGCAAAATCTCAAATATTTAAAAATGGATAAATGCAGTTTCTGATACAATTGAAATATGGACAGCACAATAAAGTTTCAGATGGAATGCCTTTAGGCGATCTAATCTTACAAAAAAAGGAGAGGGATTTAAATATTCAGAACCAAATAAATTGCGCTAATGGTCGAGTACTGGTGCAATATTAGGACATAAAAAAGTAAATTTATTGATTCATTATCTTCAAAACCTTTTTTTTTTTTTTAATGAAGAATAAAAATCACGTTTCAGTTTTACTTGTGCTAATGCAAAAGGCACCCACAAATTTGCTCCCTTGGTAATTGGGAAACCTCAAAACTTGCATTGTTTATAAATATAAACACCCGGTTACTTATTATACAAATTCAAAAACTTGAATGAGGTCGGACATTTCTATTGAATAGGCTCAATTATCATGATAGATGTTTGATAATGCTGTGCTGGGCCATACTTTAATCCAATGAAAATTTTAACATTGCGGATAATCCTAGTGAAAGTAATTCAGAGCTAGTCACTGAATCATCTCAGAGAAAAAAGTTAATACAGGTCAAGCATTAAAAAAAACAAAGGGTAAGACACATGGAAGAAGAACACCAAATATTAATCTCAAAAATATTAAGCTTGTTTACTTTCTTCCTAACACCACTACGCGGGCCCGGTACGATTCCCCGACAGGATGTTTTTCCGAAAACTCAATAATGGTCAGACAAAGAAACATTATGATAAACTGATATATAGAATGTATTAGAAAACGTCCTGTCGGGAAACCACTCTGTCGGGAAAACGATTGGAAAACATCCTGCCGGGAAAACATTTGTCGGGAAATGATTGTTGAGGAAATGGGCGCAACCCTTTACAACCAATGGTATCATAAATATATTAAATATTTAATTCGTCGTCTTGATACTGGAACAGATAACCAAAAGTGTGCAATGTAATAATATTTTTTTTAAGTTCAATTATACTAATTATTTATATTTAGAGATAAAAAGAAACCATTGATTTTATTGCTGGGGTAGTGTTTCTTCCAAATAGTGATGACATCATTATAGTGTATGTAAATATCCAAGATCCAGAATATTATGATAGTGCTAATTCCATAAATGCATTGCTAGATGCTAATGATGTGAATGAATATTTTGATAATTTTGATCAAAATGTATCAACTGAAGAGGCCTTAATGGTGAACAAATTATAAATCTTGTACAATTTGAAATGAGAATGATAATGATTCATCATCAGATGAGGAAATACCTTTGATACCAGTAAAAAATGCAATTAATGGTTTAGAATCATTTATTAACAACAGAAAAATGTAAGCCTGATGATTTGCATAGAAAATATTTAGATTTATGGAATCAAAAATTCAAACCAACATTCATGAATATTTTTAAAAAAATAACGTAAGCTTTGAGTATTAGTTTTCTATGTGAATTTTATTCTTTATTCAATATCACGCTGTGATGGCATTTAATAAGATGCGTGACTATATATCTACACCTTCTATATCACATCTTTACCTGATCCCAAGGGGTGTGTGCTTATAATAAAAAGTCGAGAAATTTTTAATACATCTTTGTATCACCTAAAATTTCACAGATCACAATTTTTCCGACATTACAATAATAAATAATAAGAATAAACAAAAAAATTTTATAATTTACTATCTTGTGGGTACGATAGAGCATTATCGGAAGTTGCTACTTCAACTCAAATGAATAGAAAACGTTGTAATATTAAATCTTGGGACAGAAATTGATAATTTCATATATATATATAAAATATCAAGAAAAGCCTTCTCAATGGCGACTACACGCATAGCATAATTTTTATTAAGTAATAAAAAATATTTTTTTATTTCATGTTTTCTGGCATTTATCTGGACAAATAAATGTGCCCGAGATTTTATTAATATTAAAATTCCGTAAATGATCTGCCATTAAAAATTTTAATTTTTTAATCTTGATCACTCAATTTTAATTAATTGTAAGAAAAAAAAGGTAAATATTTAAATAAATATTATAGATGATGGATTTATATAAGGACAATTCCAATGATGTTATTTTATTTTAGCATGTATTACCTTAGGTTTTTTGCATTTTTTTTGTGTTTGAAACTATGAAGAAAATAATTTATAATTTTCTGAGGAATTATTTATTATTTAATCAATATTTTATTTTTATTTTTATAAATAAACTTTATTTAATTCTTTAATTTATAAATTTTTTTTTTCTAATTAGATCTAAAATATATTTATTTATACTCATGTCATCAAATTTGTCAAATTTATCTTTTGGTTTTGGAAGCAACATCTATAAACAAACAAATTTTGAAAAAGGAGAAGAAAATATTATAATAAAAAAGCCAATGAAAGTCACCAATGTCAATAAAATAATTTGGGCAAATATGTATTCGACTTTGGGTTATTGTTGTACTAATAATAATAACAATGATGGTGATGATGATGATCATGATAATAACACATTGAAAATCTTTGGATTTGATGTTTTGTTCAATAAGGAGGAGGAAGAAAAAATAATTACACCTACAGCATTAGAAAATCTTAATAAACCAAAAAGGTTTTTTGGTAATGATCTTTATGGTTTAATAGGTTATGTTGATATTAATGGAAATCTTTATAAATTGGATGATCATAAAAAAAAACGCTTTGATGTTGATGATGGTAATATTAATAATAAATATAATATTAATATCATTGATATTGATCAATTTTGGAATGGTGATGAAGTAATTTTTGTAACTGGTAAATTAAAGAAAATCATATTTATAAGGATTTCAGTTAATTAGTTAACTTATTAATTTATTTTTATTTAAAAATTTTTTTTTTGAGAGAGAGGATGGGAAATTATGGAAATGGAACATCAAGAATGATAATTTACAAGAAATATTATTACCATTCTCACCATCGCCACCTTTAAATATTATATTCAAGAAAATTTCTTGTGGTGAAAATCATTGTTTAGCATTAACAAAGCAAGGTGAAGTTTATAGTTGGGGTGATGGAAGGTAAGGTGTGCATGCATATATATAAAATTTAATCATTTTTCTTCTTCTTGATAATAATCATTGTTATTATTAGATATGGTCAATTAGGGCATGGTGATTTTAGATCTTTGAATAAACCAAAAGTCATTGAATTTTTTCAAGGATTAAAAGTTACTCAAATTGCATGTGGAGGTTTACATTCTGCTGTGATTACAGGTAATTATAAGTTAATCTAATTCAATCTAATTAATTAATTAATTAATTAATTAATCTTCATCCATTATCATAAAGATTCCGGTGACTTGTATACCTTTGGATGGAATAATCTTGGTAGATTGGGTGTAAAGTCAAATACTACTAATACATCTATTCCATGTTTGATCGAATTTAATAACGATGATGCTGATTATGACGAGGAAGAGGAAGAGATTAATGTATTGAAGGTTGCATGCGGAAGTGCTCATACTGTTGTCATCACAGGTAGATTATTATTTTAAATATATTTACTTTTTTATATGATGTAGAAGAATTCATTGAGAATTTTTTTCTTTTCATCTAGATGATAACAAATTATGGACTTGTGGTTGGGGTATTTAATTATAATTATAATTATAATTCCAATAATTATGTTATTAATTAATTAAACACCCTACTCATTTTTTTTAATTTCCTTTGATATTAATAATAAAAGGTAAATATGGACAACAAGGTCTTGACAATCTAAATGATAATTTTACCTTCACTCGTATTGATTGTGATTTTTGGAATCGGAAGAATAAAAAAATAGATGATTGTTATTGTGGACGTTGGAATACTTTTATCATGATCTCAGATTTCCTTGATAATAATAATAATAATAATAATAAATAACGAATGATAGTTAATATTTATACTCGAAAGCTATTACGTCATTATCAAAAAACATGTTGTAAAAAGTCTAAAAATTATACTTTCTTTTAGACTCAATTTGTATATTATTTATAGTATTGATTTTTTACTCCATTGTTTTCCACTCTTCTCTTTTTTTTTTAAAAAAAAACAATTCCTCTAATTAAAATAATATAATTAATCTTCCCAAAAAGCAAATTTTCTCGTATCTATTATTTATCTTTTATTATATAATAATAATGTCACGTCAAAGTGGAAGAAGTCGTTTTAACAACAACTATCGTAGTCGTGGTGGACGTGGTGGCGGATTTCGTGACTCGCGAATTTATTATGGCAATAATAACAACAATAGTCAAGGACGTTATTATTTTCAAAATATTCCAAATATTCCAGCAGTAAATTTTAATCGTAATGATAATAATAGTTTATCTCCAATTAATAATAAAAATGGTGCTGCTGTTTACAATGGTCAGGGTATTATTCTTTCGAACGATAATAATAACAACAATGGAAACGAAGGTAGCAACGCATTTATTTATTATCATCAAAACCAATCAATTTAATATTAATAATAATTAATAAAATATCAGGCATTTCTACTACATCTTCTAATAACGCTACCAATATCAACAATTTATCGCAACAACAACTACAACATAGGCATAAAAATAATAACAATAATAAATCACCACGTTGGTCTACCAACGACGATATAAAGCTTCTCCAATATATTTGTAGTCATTATGATCAATACAAACAAAATAACTTAAATTTCTTTCGTAATCTTAGTGAACACAGTGAACAAATATTTGAACATAAAAGAAAACGCGAACAAATCAGAGGAAGACTTGCTGCAATTATTAATCTTTATTATAATAAAGTAAATATTTTCGACGCGGTTGAAGAATTTCTTGATTTAGAGGAAGGCTTTAACCAACAGCAAGATATATCATCTTCATCACCAAACAATAAGAACATCAATAACGGAAATGACAACAATAAGAATTATCATAAAAACAACAACATCATTGATGAAACTAACAATAATAAATGCATTTCCGATAAAATTTTAACCAACACCAACGCTGACAATCTTACCCTTAAAAAACTTGCTCAATCATTGTCACATTTAAGAACACCAATTACAGAATTATCAACAACGACCATTACTACCGCCACGAATAATAATCCAACTAATACCGCCGCTACCACCACCACCACCACCACTTCTTCTCCTCTTAACAATCAAATTGATTCTAATAACAATGCTGATAACGCTACTAATGATAATAATAATATTACTGCAAGTATGGAATTTAATGAATTATTAACTTCGACATTTGATCAACGTGGGGGTATTGATGATAATAAAACAAATATAGATGTAGATTTAAAATCAACTTCTACCATTATTATTCCGAATGTCGGCAATGGTTCTTATTCGCCTACTATGACACCATCACCACCTCCTCCATCAATGACCGGTGCTAGTACATCAGAAGAAATAGAAATAAAATCAAATGTTGTTGTTAATATTAGCAACATTGAAAATGTCGAAGAAAATGATAATGCAAATTTTCGACCAAAAAATTTAGAAGAATCTATTGCCGAAAACGTTCATTCTTCTGCTTCAACAACCCCTAATGATTCACCAAAAACCTTAATGAGCCAACAACAGGAACAACGACTTATAATTCCTTTTGTATCACCTCCACCAGCTCTTTCACCAGTCTTTTCAACATTGTCCTCAACAAAAACTTTTAATCAAAAAGAAGATGAAACTGATACAATAACAAAAGATTCAGATAACAATTCTAATTCTAAACCTCTTTCTCTCTGCAATAACAATAATCATAATTGTTATCAACTTCTACCATCATCCTCCAATTATGATGACACCAGTAATATTAATATTAATAATATTATTATCGATAATTTACCTAATGCGCCCACCAAACAAGATTACGACGTGATTATTGATAACATCAAAAATCAAATATTTTTAATTGAAGAATTATTTCAAAAAGAAAAAATTCGTTACGAAACAAGATTTAATTATTTGGATTCAATAATTGATTTATTTCTTCAAATGCAAAATCAATTAAACAAAATGAAATTGTAAAATTTAAAAATTATCTTGCTTAATATAGATCGAAATTTCTTTTTAGTTAGAAGACGGAAAAATTATTATTCTTTTTATAATTAATATTTGCAGTAATATTATAATTAAATCTTAAGCGACATTTAAAAGATACAGAACAAGCAGATTTACATACTATTAGCGAACAAAAAATTATATTTCTAAACATTATTGTTATTATATGTTCTCGTTAAAAATTTCAATTTAATACGATGTTTGTTATTAACATTTATGTTGGTTTAATTCGATTTTTTATTATTTATTACTTTTTAGATGCGTAATAATTTTATTATTGCCTTTTCAATATTTCCATTGAAATGTAGGCCGTAATCATTGCTGCTTTTTCAATCGTCCTAATTTATCTCTTAAACGGTGAATATTTATAAATACAGTCATACCTCTTTTATATCCCTCCTTTTGTTTTGGGATTTTTGTGGGATATAACTAAGGTGGGATATAATTAAAGCAATTGATAATTCACGTGACTTCAATTTTTTATAAAATTTAAAATTCTGTCAACAAAGACTGAAGTTTTGCCTTATATTCAATATTATTTAAACATTTTATTAACTCTTTAACATACTTAACATCTTTTTCTGTAGCAAATTCTTGTTCCAAGGATTTTTTAGCATTTTCAAGTACTTTCTTTCCTTCTTCTACAGATATTGATTGATCCTTCCTTGTTCTCTTCACTCACATCTTCCCTCTTCAACATGAACACCTTCTGAAATGAGAATGGTCTTCAACAATAACTTCATCAGTAGGTAATTCAGTTGTTATAACACCTGAATCAATAATAATAAATATTAAAGATAAAAAAAATATTTTCCATAATGATTTTAACCATTACACATATTATCCCTAAGCCAAAATAAAGTTCTTTTATACATATAAAGAAGATACTTTGCTACAACTGCAAAAAGAAATTTTTTTTTATTGTTAAGAAACAAGTCATCATCAAAACAATCAGAAGAATTGATAACTAATTTCTTTTGTTTTTGAAAGAATCAACTAATTTTTTTTAAAAATGCCAGCAAGTAAGAAGAATAATTGATAATCAATTCCTTTGTTAAAAATACTGCCTAAAAAAAAGAATAATTTGACATTTAGTTTCTTTATCATTAAAGGAATAACCAGTTACCACAAAAAAAAAACAATAATTGACAATTATTCTTTGAACCAAATTGCTACCTAAAAATACCTTCTTCATTAAAGGAATGCAAAAATTACCACCAAGAAAACAATAGTTAATAATTAATTCTTTGTTGTTAAAGAAATCAACCAAGTTGCCACCAAAAAAAAACTGTCAAAAAAGAAAATATATTAATTTTATGTATATAAATTGTAAGTTACACATGTATATCATGTACCAATAAGGTTAAAATGGGGATAGGGATATAACTTGATAGAATATAAACGAGGTAAAGTTTATATTAAAATAATATAGGGAAATCCATCATGGCTCATTTGTGGGATTTAATCAAGGTTGGGATATAAATAAGGGGGATATAAAAGAGGTATGACTGTAGAACTTATTCACAGATATTGCATTCTTATTGGTGGATCAAGGAATGATCTGCAAAATAGTTGCTCAAAATAATAATTTTTTCTCCAGTTTTATAATTTTTAAAGAAGGTTTTACGAAAACTACAAGGACAACTGCCAAAAATTTTTTTTATAGGTCTATGGGCTGAATCTCAAAGATCATTTTCATATTAGGAAGTGATACCCTCAGCAAAGTTTTGCACATTAAAATAAATTTACAACCATATTTGACTGCATGACTGTTTAAGGGATAATTTCTAATAAATAGATTGTCAGTCAGTACTTGAAATCATGTCATGATATTTTCATGCCTCCTCCATTCTCACATTACCCACTAAATCATATAATAAAGCTTCAATGATTTCAGAGGATGAGGCATTTCAATTGTGCCTTTTAAATCCTTTTGGTAACATCCAAGTGCGTATATTAATGCATAATTTGTAGCTTGGGGCACTATTACATCTTTTATTTCATCTCTTTCAAAACATTTAATTCTTTGTATGCATATCTATTAATATTTTATATGTATAAGAGTTAGGTTCTAGATTTCTTTATCAACTTCTATGATAAAAACAATAACTTTTTTTTATTAGGAGCATCTAGAGTATAGTATTGTGTCATGGTTAAGGTTTTTGGTCGAAACTGCTTCTATTAGTAGCTGAAATTGCCCAAATACTTTGGGCAAAAAATTTTTTTTTATAAGCCCAAACTACTTTTTGTTATTAGCTGAAATTGGGCAAAATTATTTTAAAGTTGTTTAAGTTAAAA